TCTCTAACCCCCAAGATACATGGTAGCAATCATCCCCCAAGCATATGGCCCACCCATATAGATCTGAAGGGTCTCACGACTAAGGTTTTATTAGATGACCTTTCCCTAATAGTAGCTAGCCCCCTCAAGGTCCTGGGTCCTCCTAAATCCTATTACCTCTTGAGGAGTTCTCTGGGGCACTGACTAAAGTCAGTACTTTCTCTTTGTCATCTAGTACTGGTTAGATGTCCTACTAGTCAGTGATAGTTTTTTGTTTGGAAATATTTTAATTTACTATGTAATTGTATTTATAGTTATTTTCCTTTTTTTTTTTTTTAAGATTCATTCATTTATTTATTTATTTGACACAGAGAGAGAGATCAGAAGTAGGCAGAGAGGCAGGCAGAGAGAGAGGGGGAAGCAGGCTCCCCACTGAGCAGAGAGCCCGATGTGGGGCTCCAGCCCAGGACCCTGAGATCATGACCCAAGCTGAAAGGCAGAGGCTTAACCCACTGAGCCACACAGGCACCCCTATAGTTATTTTCCATGTGTGTATGTGACTTACCCATTTCGAGGGCAAACTCATTGAAATTTAAAATAATAACAATTGACCCCAACAAGACAAGGTAGCTTGCATGCAGTAGACAGATGGTGGTCCCGAGCTGGTGAGAGATATTTAGGTACAGTGAATTTTCTCTGGCTCAGAGTTTGATCTGTAAGACTCCAGAGGACCAGAGAGTTCATTTCTCTTAAGATCAAATGTCTTAATTTCCACCTTTGTGTTCTCTTCATCAATCAACAAGTCCAGAAAGCCCAGGAAGACTGTAGGTATGGGGAGGGAGAAAAAACTTGAAAACCTTCCAACATCAGGTACTCTTTCCGGTGGGGGTGCCATGGGAAGGGGAGAGAGAATAAGGGAAAGGCAGAGGCATCACTAAAAAGGAATGGGAGCATGCCTCAAGAATGGTGCCATGCCTTCTTGATTTTGTGGCATAAAAGATGAAATATTTAATAACAAAATTCAACGTTTGAGTCATAAAGTGATTTAGCAGCACAGCTGTGGCAAGCAGAGTAATGGCCCCTCCAAGAGGTCCAGGCCCTAATCTCTGGGACCCGTGCATATGTAATCTTCCAAGGCACAACACACTTTGCAGATGGGATTAAGATAAGAATCTTAAAATGGAGGAGATTATCCTGGATTATCCAGTTGCATGCAATGTAATCCCAAGAGTTTTTGCAAGTGAAACAGGGAGAGTTGGAGTCAGAGAGAGATTATGTTGCTGGTTTTGAAGACAGAGAAAGGGGCCAAGAACCAAGAAATGCAGGCAGCCTCTAGAAAGGATGCAGAAGGCAAGAGAACAGATTCACAGCAACACAGTCTCCTGATGTATTGATTTTATTTTATTTTTTTTTAAAAGATTTTATTTATTTATTTGACAGACAGAGATCACAAGTAGGCAGAGAGGCAGGCAGGGGGTGGGAGAAAGCAGGCTCCCTGCCGAGCAGAGAGCCGGATGAGGGGGTGGATCCCAGGACCCTGGGATCATGACCTGAGCTGAAGGCAGAGGCTTAACCCACTGAGCCACCCAGGCGCCCCTGATGTATTGATTTTAGTTTAGTGAGCCCTGTATCAGACTTCTAACCCACAGAATTGTAGGATAATAAACGTGTGGTTTTTTTAAAGCAACCAAGTTCAAGGCGACTTGTTACCGCAGCCATGGAAAACTAAAACAATCTAACAAATGCAATATATGGAGCATTTTGAGGGAAGACCTAAGTGGGCTGCTCAGTGTCAGTGGGGGATCTCAAGGGAAGGTTTCCCGGCACATACGGGGGAAAGTGAGCAGGAATTTCCAGGTGAAGAAGAGGGGAAAGGACATTCTCGTTTATGGTGGGGGGGTGAGGGTGTGCTTGAGTGGGGAACTAAGGCAAAATGGAATATAAAGTGAGAAACAAGAGAGGGTTTAGAACAGTACAAGCCATTTCACCTGACTGGCAGACAATGTAGTGATCTGGCAAGAGAGGAAGCAGGAGGGATGGAGGTGGCGACTTCTCTGCTGGGGGCTGGGGGTGGGGGTGTGGTGGGAGGGTGGTTTAGGCTTTAAACCCAAGGTCATGAGGGGGTTTTAATGAATGGTAGTGGTGGTGGGGTGTGGGTGTGGGGGGTGTGGATGTGTGTATTGGGGGAGGGGAAGAGCTGAAATGACATGGTAGGATTTGCATTTAAAAATACATATTACAACAAAACGGATTATATGCCATTTCCTTTTAACAAATAACCCCCAGACAGAAATAAAGAACAGTGATTTCAAATATGAGCCCTGGTCTGAATGCCACAAGGCAGAGGCTCTGAATGTGGGCACCTGATTTACGGTCGGATCCACTTTTAGCCAGGACAACAATGTGTAGTGAGCTCCAAGGGGCAGAATGCACCTGCTACTTTGTTCCCTGCCCCGCCCCCCATCCTTCCTTTTTAGTGAACCCCCAACACAGGGTCAGGGTATTTATTCAGGGAGGGTGCTGAGGCGGGTTTGAGTTGCTCTAGTCCCTACAACCCAAGCCATTCCAAAAAATACATAATACTAAAATACCAATACATTTTTTGAAATGTGGATAACCATAGGTAAAATGTGAAGAAAAGCGGTTTCAGAATATATGGTATTTAAAATGATTTATGTATTTTTCTGACATAAAAATAGCAATCAAATGCTACAACTATAAGAGAAATCCATAAATATTGGTCTGCTTTTCCTCTATTTTCACCCTCTGAGACATCCCCCTGGAGTTTTAAATTTAAGGATGGTTTATGGATTTTCCTGAGCAACCCTATGCAGGTTGTTTTTTATATTTCCGTATTCTCCCTAATTCTGAGTGGTTCCCTGCTCTCTCCCCCCCCCCCCGAAAGTTATTAAAATTATTGTGTTAACAGTACTTTTGCAGGACTATGAAATACAGTCAGTACTTGATACTGACCAGAATGATCAGTTTCCATTAAAGTCCTCTCTCTCCCTCTAGGAAAGTGCACAGAAGTCTTACTTTCACCTCTGATCTTCTCAGTTTCTCTGGGATATGGTGGGACTTAAATACAAAATGGAAAATGTTTAGTTTTCCAAAACAGAAAAGCACTTAAGTATTATTACTTTTAGTAACTTTGTCAAAAATGTTTAAAGAGTAGAAAATCTCTTCACTCCGTGTCCTGGATTACTCACTGGGGTATCTGTCCTGTGTTTACCTGGCAAAACTGGGACTAGTGGAATAGGTTTCCCTCTCTGAGAAAGGTTAAGGCCTGAGAGAGAGGTGAGGGTCACAGAATGCAAGGCAGTATCCCAGATTCCAGCTCAGAAGGAGGAAATGTAGTGTTTAGGGGACCATGTTATGCTTATGCAAACACAAGCAATCGAAACCCACATAACAAAGGATTTCTCCAATGAATAACAAATAACAAAGCTGGATTTCTTCAATGTTTAATGTCATTATAAACACCCATGGCTAACTTTGGAAAGTGATTTGTCTATAAATACACATATATCTATTAATAGACCCACAAGGATTAGTTAACCAAAATTTTTCTAAAGAAACATCAACTTTCACTTCTCCAGTTGGGTCGCAATCTACAAGCTCATCTGTTAGGAAAACAAACGAAGAGACAAAATATTTCTTTCTTTCTTTCCTTTTTTTTTAAATGGGGCTAGAAACACAGTAATCATAGGATTCCCAGGAAGATTCAGAATAGTCCTCAGATATTAGGGGGCCAAGGTTTCAGTTTTCTGTATCTGTTAAATGTGAGAGGGGCGGAGCCAATAATTAGTGAGGTTTTTATCCGCAGCCCCTATATGTTTATGAACTTTCAAAGGGACACAGGACCGAACCCGAAAGAGCTCCCAGGAGCTCTTTGTTCCCAGCTAGAACAATCTGAACAACATCATACATAACATGATATTGAATTATAGCTCAAAGTATAAAATGAATGTATATGAATCCATGCTGATGTAATAAATGATCAAATAGATAAATAAATGGGAGAAGAGGAATAAATCCTCTTTACAGAAAAATTCCGATAATATACGCAGATACTCCCTCCCACACCCAGGTGGAATTTCATTCCACTCTCCTTTCTTGAGGTGAGTTGAACTTAGTGACTCCCATCCAAAAAAAGAATATGCAAAAAAGAAAACCAGTAACTGTGCAGTGGAGAAAGCTGGCAAATAGTACTGTAACCAGGCGATAAAGATTAATGTCACCAGCAGTTAAGTCATGTTGCTTTCATGTACCCTGATAGGATGCTGTGAGGAGAAAGGCACTTTCCCATCATGGTCTTCCTCCACCAAACCCATAACCATAGTCTCGTCTTGAGGAAAGCAACAGACAAAACCAAAATGAGAGATATCCACAAGATAGCTTAACAGAATTCTTTAAAACGATCAAGAAAAGATCAAGACTTAAGAAACTGTTACAGACCAGAAGAGAGTAAAGAGACATGACAGTATGCAGCGCGGAACCCTGGATGGGATCCTGGTACAGAAAGATATTTAGCGGAAAACTAGTGAAATCTGTAAAAGGTTGAATTTAGTTAATAGCAGGGGCCCAGTGTTAATTTATTAATTTTGACAAATGTACTATGCACAGGTGCACATGCACACGTACGGAGACGTAGGACGTGACTATTAAGGGGGCGCTGGCTAAAGGGTTTAGGGAACTCTGTACTATCTCTGCAACTTTTCCTTAGATCTAAAATTACTCCAAAATAAAAAGTTTTATTATAAACAACAAAGACAAAAGTTCATGAACTGAGAACACAAACAGAACCTTCTTCAAAATCAGCAACAACTGCCACCGACGGGAGCGCAGCGTTCCGGACGGGGGTGGGGGTGCAGGGAGTGCACCCCCGGGCGCGTGGAGCAGGGCGTGTGCGTCCCCGCGGGAGCGCGGGCTCCTCCCCGGAGTCGTCCAGGCGCCGGACTCTGCCCCGGGCGCACCCTGGGGGGCGGAGCCCAATGTGACAGCGGCGGAGCCACCCACGCCCGACGGAGCCGACCCGGGGCGGGAGGCGGGAGAGCGAGGCCGGGACCCCACGCTCGCTCAGCGAGCTCCAAGGTAGGCGAGCCTCGGCGACCCGCGAGCTCAGCCCCCGGGTGAGGGAGCGCCCGGGGCCCCCGGAGCGGGTTCCCCCAGCACGGCGCCCCGACGGCAGAAACAGGCTCTCGGTGGGGAGGGGATTCCTCCCTGGATTCCTCTCTCCGCTCTGGGCGGGAAGTTTCCGATTCCCTGGGCGGGAAGTCTGTGCTCCTCTCGCAAGAGAAACAGTTGCCTTTCCCCGAGAAAGAACAACCTTCCTTTGGGCCGCAGCACATCTGGTTATTTATTTAGGTGACTGTTTTGCAGTCCCTTTGCCAGGGGTCCCCGAGAGTGAGAGGACCGGAAGACTTGATGTCACCTTGTGGCCGCTCTGACAGGTCGCTGGGCCCTCAATTTTTAAGAGCACAAATGAATGAATAAAGGTGGTTGTCTTAACCTTCTTTCCTGCTGGCTTCTGCAGCGGCAGGTGCGTGTAGCAAAAGGCGAACCGCCCACTGGCTGACAGTTTTCTACTGCCTTGGGATTTTAGAGCTGGAAGTTACAGAGCTCTTGGCAGGTGTGCAAAGAAGCTTTATTATCTGACTGAAGAATATAGTACAGGAGAGTGCAAGGATAGTTGTTAGACTGAGTGAAGACGTGGCTGTAAATTTTTCACCTTTTTTCAAAGGGGGAATATATATATGTAATGCATATAAAGATATCTATAAATACATATTATATGTGATATATAATATATAAATGCATTGTGTATATTAAATATATAATATATAGATATACAAATATATAAAAGTATTATATATAAATGTGTGAAACATATATAAATATATGTAAGTATATATTATATATATAAAATAAGGATCAGAAGAAGCAATAAGCCCCAAACATAACTGAGCTGGGTCTGTCTTCCATTATACTATAGTTGTTTTATTTTAGGAATCAAAACTTTCTTTACTGTCTTGGTATATATAGACTAGATGAAATATCAAAGGGAGTTATTCTGCATTTACAGTAAGGAAAAGATAATCTGCCCTTTTGATTTTACCTAATGATATTAAATATTCAGTTCTGCAGAAGTCTGGTTTTTCAGAAATATGATCTGGGCCAGAGTCTCAGGTACCCTGGCAGACACAGTTGGTGCTTTGTTTCCTGTTACTGGCCTGACCCTTTCCCTCTCCCCCCAGCACTGAGAGTTTTAGAGCAAAGGTCCCTGACACAGAGCAATTTGTGCCTAAGGCAGGGTATATACCCTGGTGGCTCCTCAGCTGGAGCTCTCTCATACAGAAAGAATGAAAACAGCTTGTACTTCCTGCAAATTTCTTAAGGTTCCGATCTTTGTGATTTGCTATATAAATTCGGTAACTAAACAGGCACTAATGAAAAAAACTTTTGAAATAAATACAGACACTATTTCTGTTTTGTCATTCATCTATATGATTCCGTGAATTAAGAACAGGCATGTTCTTTGCTAGCTGACTGATTTACAATATGCTGGACAGCAAGTGGACTTAGGTGTCGTCCAAGTTCTAGTGGAAGCTGAAAAATTAGGAGTATATTTATTCGTTTGGGATCAAGACTGAAAAAGGAAAGAACTAAAAGTTTTGAACAGAATCTAAAAGTCTTTCAAAGTCCTGGTTTCAAATGTTTTGAACTGAGTTATTTATATCAAAATTATAGGCCATTTATGAATAGAAAATAAATTCATAATGGCAAAGTGTTACTACCAACTTAATAACATGTTTAGGTGAATTTGCATTTTACTAAGCATGAAAACAGCCAGCTACATGGGTTTGGAAAGCAAAAGCATGAGTGTGTGCACACTTAGTTTTAGAAAATATTTGGTGCACACGCGGATTTGTGGACCCTATTCACACGCTTGCTGAGTACCTGTTGGTTTAGGGCACTTTGTCCTGAGTTCAGACTGGGAGGGCGGGGTGGATACAGCTTTGTGTAAATAAGTCACATCCCTGTCCTCCTGGAATTTGCACAATGCTGGACACCTCCAGGACATCTTCAGATCATAGATAAGAACCACATCAATAATCATCTATCAGTTTTGACAGTGATTGGAACTAGAGTATCTTCAAATCACATACTCTCTTTCACCATTTTAAATAGTCAACTCTAAAATTGTAAAGGAACTTACATATTATTCAGGTCCGTGTTTTTCTCTTTTGCTTGGACTGGGGAAGAATTTAGGAATCACGTGTTGCGGGTTAAATATTATGAAAAATGGAGATGTGAAACCTGAAATAGCTAAATAGCAATTTCATGCAAATTAAATAAAAACTAAATTGTAGTAGTGGGTGCCAGTAATTTACTATATAAATCAGTGAGTGAAAAACTTCAAATTGAGAAAATTCTACCCATCACATTATTTTTTCCCATAAATTAGGAAACTATGACTACAATTATATTTTACCGCAGAAGAAAAAGATTTACTTTGTCCAAGGCATTCTTGCTTATTGTTGTTGTTGTTGTCATTGTTGCTGTTTTCAAAAAACAGCTTTTATGGGGCACCTGGGTGGCTCAGTTGGTTTAGCGACTGGTTTCAGCTCAGTTCATGATCCCAGAGTCCTGGGATTGAGCTCCTCATCAGGCTCCCTGCTCAACGGGAAGCCTTCCCACTTCTCCCACTCCCACTCCCCTGCTTGTGTTCCCTCTCTCGTTGTGTTTCTCTCTTTCTGTCAAATAAATAAAATCTTTGAAAAAAATAGCTTTTTTTGGAGGTGTAATTTACATAGCACAAAATATATCCAAATGACGATTCAATGATTTTTTAGTAAGTTTCTGGAATTGTGCAACCATCACCACAATCCAGTTTTAAAGCATTCTCAGCATCCCCAAAAGACCCCACTTTCCTATTTGTTACCCCTAGACAACCGCTAATCTACTTTCCTCTCTCTTTTTAGATTTGACTTTCTGGACATTGCACACAAATAGGATCAGACAATAGATGGTCTTTCGCATCTGGCTCCCTTCGCAGAGCCTAGAACAATGGTTTTGAGTTCATTCAGGGTGTAGCATGCATGGATCAATAGCGGGTTCCTTTTTCTTGCTAACTACTATGCATTCCATTCTATGGCTGGTCCAGATTTTGTTCACCAGCTGGTGGATATTTCTGCATTTACATTTAAGTGGTAAGACAGATACTTTGGTCCAGCTTCGATGGTAGCATAATTCAAAAATAATTGATAGGAGCCAACCTCTTATTTATATTTGTGAAAAATATATTCCCAATATGGATTACTGCTATTTTCCATGATCTTTCTGTGATACTCCCATGAAAATAGTAAATAGTTAACCCTGCGCAAGTAGCAAAAGGCATCAATCATTTGGGATTCTAGGTTGGACTTGGAAGATGTTTCACTCTTGACATTCCTATTTGCAAAGAGAATTCGTATCTCCTTTGGCATATTTTCTTCACAAATAATGCGTTTAGAGTGGGTGAAATTTGATGATTGTTTGACCTAACAGTGAGGACTGAAGTATTCTCAAAAATCTGAGTGCTTCCTAATAACATATTTAAGTGGCACACTTAACATAAAGCATGAGGCATGTATAGCCCTAAGCCTTAAAAAGTTGAAGGGAGTGCATGTGAATTTATGTGCTTTTAGTTTTATTAGTCTATGGTTTCTATGACTGCTTTAAAAAAATGAAACATATACAACTGTTTATTTACAAAATCAGGCACTAGGTTGAGTTCTTAGATGAGGGAAAATCTGAAACAGAAAAAAAAATGCCACTTCGTTTTTCTCTAGGAACTTTTTAAGGAGCTAGAGCAAAATTGTAAATTATTCCAGGTTCCTATTAAGCGGTGGTGTTTTTCTGTGTTTCATCCAGAGAATAAACCAAATTGGAACTTTATAACATTGCAAGAACATTGACCTTTGAATTCCTTAGGAATCAGGAACCTTGAGCAACAGTTCCGTTAGAGTTGTTCCCTTGCCATTCACCCGGCTTTCTGCCAACTACGACAGTAAATGCATTCTTAGGAGGTTACGCTTGGCAACTTATGCTTAAAGATCCTCTTAGAAGGATTTCTCTGGTTGAGTAGAAACCCTTCGAGAAAAAGTTGGCAAATTCCGTGAAACTAAAGAAAAGACAATATGTCTCTTCACGCCTGCAAGTTACTGCTAGAAATTACACTTTCCTGCTGGGGAAAAAAAGAGCATTAATATAACTTGAAGGTCTGTTTTATTGACAACTTAGAATGCGAAGGATTTTATTTTTAAAATTCTAAAATTTGAAAACAAGATAGTCTAGATTAAATAATGTAGTTTTCCAAAGCTGAATGTGCTCATTTGGAACTCAGTTTTTTCTGTTTGAGATATCAGAACAACTTGCTGAAATCCTGGGTGGGAACATTGTGCTTTTGATGGTCTGTGATTGGATGAATTAATCAGTCTCTATGGCTAATGTCTTTTTTTTTTTTTTTCTAACCTGGTTAGGATTTAAAAATCTCTAGAACAGGTACATTTTTCTAGACTTCCACTGACAGTGTCATTCCAAATGTCTCTTAAGAGTCATATACCATTGATAGGAATCTGTCTCCATCATTCCCACTTTTATATGCTCTGAAATTGGCGGGGACACATTCCCCCCGTGTTGTGTCTATTCACAGGAGGAAGGCAGCATTGAGGTCTGAGAGTCTTTGAATTATTTTGATGAGCTCACTCATTCATCACTCATGACGACATGATCTGTTATGAGGAGCTAGGTTTTTTACCCAGAGCCAGAAGCCGTGCTCACACTGGTATCTTTCTGTGAGCTCCCAGATCTCGCATCTTGGGAGGATGCTGCCCTATGGGTACCCATCAGTATGACACCTTCCTGTCTGCTGGACAGGAAGGTGGCCATCCTGGACAGACTTTGGAGTCACTGACCCAGTTGTCTCTGCGGTGAAGAGTGGAAACATGTTATGCATCTAGAAAACAAGAAGAGGATGTGTAGATGAGATGAGGAGTTTTAGGTTCATGAATTCAATGTAAATCTTGCCATAGCAAATATTATTTACTTCC